TATCCACTATATAAATAGAATACAGGATACAAACCACATGGTCATCATCTGTTTAGAAGAAGAAAATGCTTTCAACCAAATCCAACATGCTTCCATTATAAAAATCCTTGAGATACTAAAGGTAAATGAACTTACCACAACATATTAAAGACCATTTACAGCAAACCTACAACTGACAACATTCTAAACAGAGGAACTCAAAGCATTTCCACTAAAATCAGGAACAATAAAAGTCTACTTTCTCCATATTGTTCAACATGTTGATTGAAGTCTTAGCTAGATCAATAAGAAAAGAAAAAAGGGAAATACAAACAGGAAAGGATGAAGCCCAAGTGTCTTTATTTGCAGAAAATGTGATGTACATAAAGAACCTAAAGACTCAACCAGAAAACTCCTATAGCTGATAAATATATTCATAAAGTAGCAGAATACAAATGAACACTAAAATTAGTAGCCTTCATATACACAACTGCAAATTACACTTATATAGAGATCATAGGAACAATACCATTTACAATCACCTCAAAAGTTCTTGGAATAAATCTTAATGAAGAACTGAAAGACTTCTACAGTGAAAACCTTAAGACTGGAGGGAGATACCATGATGAATGAAGACTCTAGGGGAATAGGAAGAAGAAGAGTGCTAGAGAGGTCCCCTGAAATCCACAAAGATGCCTCCACTGTACACTACTGGCAACGGTCAAGAGAGTGCCTGAGGTGACTTGCTGTGGTGATGGGATGACCGAACACCCTGGCAGTCATGATAGAACTCTCATCCAGTGTCTGATGGAAGCAGATGCAGAGATCCATGGTCAAAACCCAGGTGGAGCTCCGGGAGTCCAATAGGTGAGAGAGGGAGGATGGATTGTAGGAGCAAGAGATATTGAGACCATGTTTGGAAAAAGCACAGGAACAAGTAGCTAAACTAGCAGAAATGCATGAACTATGTACCAATGGCTGAGGAGCCCCCATGGAACTGGACCAGGCCCTCTGGATAAGTGAGACAGTCGATTAGCTTGAACTGTTTGGGAGGCCCCCTGGCAGTGGAGCCAGGACCTGTCCTTGGTGCATGGGCTGGCTTTTTGGAGACTGGGGCCTATGCTGGGACACTTTGCTCAGCCTTGGTGTAGGAAGGAGGGGACTGGACCTGCCCAGGCTGAGTCTACCAGGCTGGGCTGACTCCCCAGGGGAGACCTTGCCTTGTAGGAGGTGGGAATGGGGTGTGGATTGGGGAAAGGGCTAGGAGGTGGGGAGAGGGAGGATTGGGGGAATCTGTGGCTGATATGTGAAATTAAGTTAATTATAAAATAAAAATATTTTTTAAAAAACACACAGTAAACACCCATCACACACAAAAAAGAAATAAATTGAAGAAGACACCAAAAGACAGAAAGATCTCCCCTATTGGTGGATTAGAAGAATTAATATAGTAAAAACAAATGGCCATCTAACCAAATTCCATATAAAGATATATCACAATCTCATTAGAAAAGCAATTGAAAAAACTCAATTTTGATTTTCATATGAAAGTACCAAAGATTCAGTTTAGACCAAACAATCCTGAGCTAACTTAAGTATGGATGGAGTTATCATTATCCATCCCAGACACCATCAATTAATACTATAGAGTTGTAATAATAAAACCAGCATAGTACTGTCATGAAAATAGATTTGCTGATCACTGGAGTAGAATTTAGGAACTATACTCCTTCAGCTACCTGATATTCAACAAGGAATCCAAGCATACACATTAGAAACAGCATCTTCAATAGATTGTACTGGTCAAACTGTATAGCTACATATAAAAGAATGAAACTCAATCCTCATTTAATTGAGAAAACAACTGATATCAAATGCTGGCAAGGATTTGGGGAAAGGGATCCCCCAATCCATTGCTAATGTGATCAAAGACTGGTGCAGCAACTGTGGAAACAGTGTAGAGAATGCTCAAAAAGGTAAAAGTTGATCTACCACGTGATCCAGCTATACTACTCTTAAGTATATACCAAAAAAATTCCATGTCCTACTCTAGAGATAGATACCTAGTCATCTATGTTCATTGCTTCTTAATTCACAATAGCCAGGAAATGGAAAGAGTCTAGATGTCTATCAAACAGATTAAGGGATAATTAAATTGTTGTATATTTACACAATGAAATTTTATTCATGTATTAAGAATAATAAAATGAGATTTACAGGTAAATGGATTAAGGTGGAAATAATCATTTTTAATGGGGTAACACATACCCAGAAATACAAAGATTTCATGTTTCCTCTCATCTCTGGGTTAATTTTCAGTCTTCAGATATATGTGATTACAGAAAAAATAAATAAAAAAAAAATCCATGCAAAATTACTTTGAATTGATGAGAGATAAAATGTACTGGTATAAAGGTTTAAAAGGAAATACAGGGAGGGTTAAATTGGCTTGGTGAAGGGAAGACCATAAAAGAGGAAGAAGTATAGGGAAGGAAAACTAACATAAAAGATTTTTGGAAAGACCAATGAAAACTTACTATTTTAGAAGTTTCCTAAAGAGTAAACATGCATGCATTTAAAAAAGTTTAAATGAGCGGGGTGGTGGGAGCACACACCTTTAATCCCATCACTTAGAGGCAGGTGGATCTCTGTGAGTTCAAGGCCAGCCTGGTCTATATATTGAGTTCCAGGATAGACTCCAAAGCTACACAGAGAAACTCTGTCTCAAAAAAATAAAAATAAAACAAAAAAAGTTTAAATGGAGAAAAGTAGTTACCTACAATAGGAAGACAATGATTCTATCACATACCAAATGGAATAAATAAAAAAATACCCAGTACCAAGAACAGATTACCTCTTTCAGAGTTCTTCACTTAGTTCCCAATGATTCACTAACATTATAGGCTATTGCCATTACACTTAGTTACCCTTCAAAACTGATGGTAATGTAAGACCTTGTTGCTGAAGACACTACACAAAAGTTTCATAGAACTTGCCTTTAAGCAAGTCTATGAAGTGCATATATATATATATATATATATATAATTATATATATAGTAATATATATTACTATATATATTATATATAGTAATATATAATTATATATATTATATTATTTATAATATATTATATATATAATTATATATATTACTCCTCTGAAGACTCAGGAATCACTGTGGATAAGGGGGAAGAAAGAGTACAAGATCCAGAGGTGGTGGCTGAGTATAAGGAAGTACTACTTTATTGACACAGTAAAGTTGCATATATGAAATCACAGAGGTTGTGACAGCATGCCCAAGATATGTACCAGTTCAAATCAGACCAAATTCCAGCATGTAGAGGGGGTTTGGGCATACAAGCTCATCCCTAGTCTTGGAGCTATTTGCAAGTGTTAGCTTCTAGGAGAGGGAGAGATTTTGTTGTTGTTTTTGAGACAGGGTTTCTCTGTGTAGTTTTGGTGCCTGTACTGGCTCTTGCTCTGTAGACCAGGCTGGCCTTGAACTCACAGAGATCCACCTGGCTCTGCTTCCCGAGTGCTGGGATTAAAGGCATGAACCACCTCCACCACCCAGGAGAGAGAGAGATATTTCTATAAGAGTGTATCCCCAGTTAATTTTACTAATATCTAATGGAAGACCACACATCTGTCAGAACATATCCTCAAATTGAGCCATGTGATGAATGATGAGTGCTTATGAGAACACACCAAGAAAATAAGACTAGAGTTTTGTTTTTTTTTTTTTCAAAACATAGAATTGTTTTTGGAATGTGTTTTTGTGCTCGTCCCAGGTGTATTAGATTGGAGGGAATTTACTTCAGATTACACATTATTGCTTGCTGCTGTTATTCCATCATGCCTCTATGGAAAAACATGTTTTGGGCACATGCAACTTATCCTTGTGATTGTATACAGCTTGTCTTTTCTTCCTAAGAGTATAAATTGTCTGAGGCGCTTAATAAAGTTGGCTATTACATGATACTTTAGTAATCTTCATTTATTGGCTTCATTCACCCAGATCCCACTACCTTCAGAGCAGTGACACACATCCAAGAATATTTGGACAGCACACATTAGATTTGAAAGGGCTTTTAAAAAGAACATACAGTTGGGTGGACAGGGACGAAGGGTGTATCTGGCATGGTAGGTGGCATGTTGGTGAAGGGTTGGTAGATAAAAACATTGTATAAAACAATCAAAGTAAAGATAGATAGATAGATAGATAGATAGATAGATAGATAGATAGATAGATAGATAGATAGATAGATAGATAGATAGATAGATATGGATAGAGCAAGCGAGTAGGCTGAAATAAGCCTAACACCAATCTAGTAAACAGCCTTTCTTCATGGATTCTGCTCCAGATGCCTGCCTTGAGCTCCTTCCCTGAATTCCCTCAGTGATGGACTACCACCTGATAGTGTAATCTGCTATAAACCTTTTCCTACTCCAAGAAACTTTTGATCATGCTGTTTATCACAGGAAGAGAAAATCAAATTACAATAAAATTCAAGTATAATTTCCAGGTTTACAGTTCCACAGAAAGAGAAGAATATGGAAAATGTAAACCTAGGAATATATAATAATCAGACTTATTTGAGTTTTAAGACTAAGTATATGACATATATGTCAAGGGTCTTGACTTTATAGTGTTAATGGCTGCTGACCAATCAACATGCTTAAAGTACCATCCAACTAATGAATGTGCATTTAAGAAGCAAAACAGAAAATACCAAAACCAGACAATAGTATATAAAGGATAATTTCATTATAGAAATGAGGTTACACTTTTCAAGTAGTGAAAGACAAACAAAGGAGTATGTTTAAAACAAATTCATTGCAGATAAACTGAACTCAGTTTAGACATTTTTATACGAGCAGGTATATGTCAAATAAATGTAACATGAACAAAATGTTAAGAGAAGTAAATCAATATTTGGCCATAATCTGTTGCAATTTTCAATAATCACAAAGTAAATCCTCTACAGATCACCAAAAAGTAACAATAAGGAAATGGACTTACTAGGGTAGCCTCAGATATCACTAGTGCTCTGTTCCCACGAAGATGCACAGCACAAACTTAAATTTTGAAGGAAGTTCTCACTTCACAATGAATAAGAAAACCAAATTAGTCATAATCTAGTTCTAGGATTGGGTCATGATGAGGATACTAAATTTTAATGCAAACTGGAGAATTTGTTTTCATAACTGTATGTAAATTACATTGAGATTAATAAGATAAGCAAGAATGATTTGAAAGAGCAATAATAGAATGAAAAGTACACAAAGGACAGCTGACAAAGATTGTTATAATTACAGTAGAGAAAAAGAAGGAAATTATTTCAGAAGAAATGAAAATTTACCTCAAAACTATAATGTTCTGGAACTTTTAGTCAGTCACAAAAATGTTACTTTATAATAATATAATAGTAACATGTAGAAGTCTAAATAATGTGTAACCTGGAAAGTATTAGGCCAGCCTAAGCTAGGCCTTACTGAGACATGAAGGTTACCATGACAACAGAGTCCTGAGGCAACTCTGAGGTCATAGTGCAGTAGCCAATCCAGATGGCTACCTCTTTTGCATACCAAGGCCACTACATCTAGGGCATAAATATTGAAATCAGAGATTGATATTAATACTCTAATAAAATGTCCTAGATTTATGGATAAAGCTGAAATTGAATCAAAACAGAATTTAGGGTGGTTAGTACCATAGCTGCAGCTTCATAGATGAAGGAAACTTCTGAGACTCTGGTAGCAGAGTCTGAAGCCACAGAGCTCTGCTTCAGTGTGCAAGCTATTGAACAGCTGCTGCTACTCCTGCGTGATGAACAAGCCAAGTTGTAGGCACACTGCCTCATTGCAACACCACCTGTGCAGGAAACACCTTGGCATCTGTAAGCAGCTGGATGAGAAGCTCTTATGCTACTCTGACAGTGGCAGAATTCTTTACAACAGATTCCATTTCATCTTTAGATTGTCCTCCTAGAGAAACTTTTTATGCATCCCTATTGCATATCATAACAGTAGAGTTGTGCATGAACTGGGAGCTCTTTTTGATGACTAAGGTCATACTCATCATAATATTAAAGCAGATGTTTTTTATTTTTTGTCTGACCTGCAAGACACTTAATAAAATGTCTTTTAGTCACACTGATTATTTCATACATGTGTGTTTTAATATCTCCATCCATAAAGCTCAGCAAATATTACATCAGTGATGAGAAAGCATGTAAATAAATGTGAGTGAGGAACTGGAATTTGTTTTAATTCATATTCTGCTGGATTATTTTCCATTCTAGGAAAATAAAATATGAGGTTTCAACTCAAGAGTTCTATAGTTCTGAATACATTATAAAAACTGGCATTGAGAAGTTGTTGTAGAAAAATTCAAGGAATGAAAAGAAAAAAGAAGATTCAGAAGCATATGAAGCAGTAGGCAGTGTCTCAGATAAAACAAGCAAATTTTGCAGAGGCCTATCCAAAGTAAATGGTGACCTACAGACCAGTAATAATATAAATGTCCTGGAAGGCAGAGAAGAGGAACACAGTACCTTACTTTCCAAACTAGTGACTCTGGTGGCTATAGAAGTGATCTCTAAAGGGAGCTGCAGCAGAAAAGAAAAAAAAAATGAAGAGGCTGATCTCATCCCAGGTTCCAGATTCACCTAAGACAAAATAATTGTAATCATTTGTTAAAATTTACACATAGAGATGAGTAAATGTTTTGTACCTTGTTAAATGTTTATGCATACCAGAATCTGAATAAGAATTGAAATAGTTTTACTTAAGATAAAAAAAAAACTGACTGCATATTAGTTTGGGTAATATCAACATTTCTAGAGTTCCATTTGAATGCAAATAGTTTAAAATGTCAACAACTGCAGAGGCCCACAACGGTTTGTAGTGAGATCTGAGCTTGCTTTACCCAGGAGAGCTGCATTAGAGGATTGCTTGACTATGTGTATGGTTTCTAGGTGATTGGAAGTGTCTACACTTGGCTGAGCTAGGGGGAAGTATTTGCTCCACCCCTTGGCATTTCTATAAATAGCCATTTAGAAGAGACAAAAAGGGCCAGTGGATAAGGATCCAGGCTATCCTGAGCTATCCTGTGTTTCTATATGTCTCTCTCTCCTCCGTATTTCTATCTAAACCTATTATCCTATTCTCCTCAAGAGTACCCTGGGGAAAAAGGTGGGAGCAGGTCTCCCACAAATGGCACCAAAGAACAAGAGACCCAGAGACTTGGGGAAAGAAGAAAGGGGGCATCTTGGGTGTAAGGCATGCCAAGATAAGAAATTGATAAAGGTAGTGGTATTTTATTCTCAGGAGTCTAGTTAGATGGTGGAATGCTGAAGTTGGAAAGTCAGGCTGCAGCATATATTTCTCTCTATCTAGGTATCTTTAGTTTTCTCTCTCATAATTCCTATGTTAAGGAAAAAATATAAAGTAGAATGTAGGAATGTAGTGTAGAAAAACTTAGTATAAGAAGAAAAAACTTAGAAAGGTAGAATGTAAGAATATAGCATATAAGATAAAAAGACAGAAGAACCATGCCCTTGACTTCCAACGATGGGACTGTGAGTGCAAAGTCTTAGGGAAAAATCAAAGAATAAAATGACTCCTATTGACATACTGCTATAACTATAGCTCAGTGCTTCTTTCAACCCCTATTGGAGGAGCTTATTCTTGAAGTAGATGTGAATTAACACAGAAACCCACAACTGGTCAATATGCAAGAGAGTGAGAAACATTGAAGACTCAGTCTTCAATTGAATATCATTATCAAATTCTTCCCCTTGGGGGTCAGGGATCTGTGTAGAAAATCAGGCAGAAAGAGTGAGACCCAGATACAACAGCAACGATGCACATACTAACTTGCAGAGACTGTGAAAGCAAATATTCAGACCTGCACAGGTTCAAGCCAGTTGAGGGCCCAGCACTGAGAGGTGGAAGTGTATATGGAATCTCACCCTTACCTCAGACTTGATTTGCATAGAACTGATCTTAGTTAGTACACTAAAGCCCTTAAATATTTTTGAGTTCTAAACACTGCCCAGAGCTGTAAAGGCCCTTAGCAAACATTTTGCTGCTACCAGAAGTGCAATTATGTTTTATTTAAATTACATAGGACAAATTAGTTATTATTAATAAAGCAACTCCAATTTGTGTACTTCATTATCTACCCACTTCATTTTTATGATAAGAGAACAATTTAGTCAGAGACAGAAAACTATCTACATCCTTACAGTGACCTATCAAGTCAATCTTCAGGGTCCTGAAGTGAGGGTAAGGTCTAAATGCAAAGTACAAGTTATATATAATTCTGCAGTCTGGCCAAAGTGTGATCCCATACACCATTGTCTCAACTCTGTTTTCTATAGTTACTCTCTCCTGCAATGTCAGTAGATTGGTTGTAAATCTGTCCAAGAAACAAGTTCCTCCTCTGGTGGAAATTGGCTGCCCCAGGACGTCAGGCTTTTCTTCTCCCAGAGAGAGATTCCTAGATAAATTCTAATTTCTTGGAGTCCATTCCTCTATTAGTCTGACAGCCAAAGAGGAGAGCATAAGTTCCTCTTTAAAACGCGTTTAAAAGCTGGGCAGTAGTGGCACACGTCTTTAATCCCAGCACTTAGGAGGCAGAGCCAGGTGGATCTCTATGAGTTCAAGGCCAGCCTTGTCTACAGAGTGAGATCCAGGACAGGCACCAAAACTACACAGAAAAACCCTGTCTCGAAAAAACAAAACAAATAAACAAAATCCAAACAACAACAAAACCCCCATGTTTACATGTGCTACACAGGCTGGTTACAGTGCTAGAGTGTTGGCATGGAATGTTCTCCAAGGCTGAAGTGAAGTTTTGACTTCCAGTGTGGTAATTTGGGCAGGGTGGTAGAACCTTTTAAGAGGTTGGGCTCTGGAAGACTTTAGGTCATTAGGCATGTGAGCTTTAGGGGTATACTGAAATCCTAGTTGTTTTCCTGTCTTTCACTCTTTCCTTTCTTACCTTATAGGAAGTGAGTGATCTTGTTCTTCCATGAACTACTTATATGTCATGCAACCTCCCCCTACATGCTTTAAAGCAATAAAATCAACTTAACAGACAGAAACCTCCAAAATAATGAGCCAAAATTAAGTTTCTTGGTCTTTAAGTTAATATTTTCAGGTATTGCTTTGGACACTTCCCTTCTTTGTGAAACTATAACCTTCTAAATATGATTTTTCCTATAATATGAGTTACCTTTTATCTTTCTGATAACTTTTGTGTTTGTCTTACCTTCACAACTAGATTGCAAGCTCTTTAAAGTTCTGAATACTAATCTGCTAGATCATGGACTTCCTAGTTTAAGACACGGTTATTCTAAAAAAGCCAATAAAGCAATCTGGGGAAAAAATTGGGCCATGGTCTCCTACAGTCTATGCCTATAACTGACAGACCCCTGATACAAATAAGAATACTCAAATTTTAGTGGCAAAAATCAACCCAGACCCTCTCGATATCAACTACAAGATTTGTGGTCCTGACTCCATATGCACAAGTGCTAGACTAGCCTAAGTCACATGATGTAATACTTTCTACACCATATGGAAACTTATAGGTCAGAAACTCCTTTTATTTGAGGATTTGAGAGATTTTTGTTAGATGCCCTATTATGTTGTACATGGCAGTTATCTCTATAACTCTTGGATTCTCTATATATTCTCTTGGGTTGTGAAGAGAAGGCTCTATCCACATCATCCTGTATCTAGTATGATGCTCTATCTCTAAATGCTCTTCTACACAAAGACCTGAGTATGCCCTGCCCATGGTTGTGCAGGTCTCTTAACAAAGCTCTTTCTGTAGCAGAACTTGGCATCTGTTCCTTTCCCAAACCTGCATTTTGTTCTAACTCTCATGTCATATGTCTTCTTTATATCCATCTTTGTTAATATTTGGATAGAAGCAGAATGCATAATACCTAATTATTCTATGTTAGTTTTGAATATTAATATTTGAGTGCAATTTTACAACAGTGCATACTCTTTATGGTTCTAAGGTACATAACTATTTTTTCTTAGTTTTATTTAAACTACAGTATATACACTGTATTAGAGTTTCAGTTCCTGGCCTGTAGAGGATAATGTTTTCCACAGATTGCAGCACCATTTTTCCTTGAAATAATGAGGTATATTTCTTTGGGATCTTATCAGGTAATAAGAAAAGCTGATTTGGTTTCTGATAAGTTTAAACCTTAACAGTTTCAAATCTTAGAAGTAAACATTTAATAACAAATACTAATTGTTCTCCCAAAGAGGACATTAAACTGTCAGATTAAATTCCTCTGTGTACTGCTTTCCGGATCAGATGCAATGGCTTTCTGCTAGTGAACTCCTGCAGCCCTGTAGTGAGTTCTTTGTTTATTAGTTATACAGAATTTGTGAAGTGTTTCTCTTGTGTGATCTCATTTGATCTTGACATAAGCTCATAAAGCTAGGCACTGTCACTTTTATTTTACAGATAT